TTACTGACTTACTAATACTGGTATTTTCTTATTAATAACTTCCTCTTTCAATATTGGTAACCAGATTATACTACATTCTGCCGAGGAATTTGCGACACAATTGGCCTCATTTAGCATAATTAGAGCCGCTTCTTTGATTTTTCTTTTTTTGCCATCCGTTTCTTTTAGGACTATATTTGAATTATTCCATTGAACCCTATGTTCATTATCCCATGCGTGTTTACATATTTGAGATCTATCAAATTCTCTATTTTTAATATAAGATTGATGTTCACTTATTCTAACATTTAATGGCCTTGATGATTCACCTAAATAAAACTGATCGCATTCACAAGGTATTTTATAAATGCAATTCTTTGTCCTTTCTTGTTCATTGTTAGGTTTGGTTTTGGACAAAATAGATCTCAACGTGTTTGTTGTTTTGAATGTTGTTGAAATGTTGAATTTATTTCCTATCCTTTTAAGTTTTTCTGATAATCCTTTTATGTACGGTATTGTTATTTTCCTCATATTATTCCTTGTGTATGCTGTAGGATCTCGTTCTAAGTTGTTCTGTTCTATTCGATCGATTGTTGAAAAGTCCTTATTTATAAACGATAAAGGATAATCATTTTTTAATAAAATAGATGTTAACAAATGTTTCTCCTCCAAGAACGAATTTTCGTTAGAACAAGTAATTTTGGCTCTATCGTATAAGGATTTAATTATTCCCTTTTTTACATTAATATTGTGATTTGATTTGAAATTTTAAATATCTATTGGTGTGTGTTGGTTTTCTATACACCTGAGTCTCATATCCAGTATCGTTCTTAGAGATTAAAACATCCAGGAAAGGTAGCGTGTTATTATATTCCTTTTCCATGGTAAATGTTATTGTCTCTTCTTTATCGTTTATATCGTTTAGGAATGTGTCCAACAACTCTGATCCATGAGGCCATATTGAGAATACATCATCTACATACCTCCACCATACTATGGGTTTGAAATTTTGTTTAGAAATGATATTTGTTTCAAAATTTTCCATAAATATATCGGCTAAGAATGGAGATAAACTAGAGCTCATTGCTAGACCAAAATTTTGTTTATAGAATTCATTATTTAGTTGAAAATATGTATTATCAGTACATAATGTTAATAACTCCATTATAGCCGATATGTTTAGTCTTGTTCTAGTTGCCAATGAATCATCATTCTCTAATTTTGTCTTGACTATACTTAAAGTCTTATTTAATGGCACATTCGTAAATAAACTATTTATGTCAAAAATTTTATAATCCATTGGATTTAAAACGGCCAACTTGGCTAATTAAACTATTTAATTTTAAAACTTGACATAATATTGTACTGCACAACGACGTATTAAGGAGAAAATTAAAATATTTATTGTTTGTAATATTAAATAAAATAACTGATAACTGGAAATTTGTAATTAGTATAATTACTATAATAATAGTTAATAGACCCGAAATTACGATGTCCCACAAAATTAACAGCAAACGTGAAATTCCAAACTATTCTCTTTTTTTGTTTTGTTGAACATGTATAATACTTTTTTTAAAAGTTTCGTTTTTTAAAAGTTTGTCATTTTTTTTTGCTGAAAAGGAAATTTTTGTTAAGGTGCTTAATTGATAAATCGAATATTTACGTGTAAAATAATAGTGGTCAAATTAATTGTATTACTTTTTGGTAAATTGTTGGCTGCTTTTTCGAGAAAAAACAACTGTAACGAGAAAAAACACATCCAGTAGCGCTAACTGTTGCTCGGCATAATGACGGCATTCTGTACGGTATATCGAAGAAATGCTTAGAGTTCAGCGAAGCACCCTATCCGATGCTTTGCAAAGATTTTGAGAAGCTAATTCTCACTTAAGAAGATCTGGACAACAAACACCAACGGTAACAACTGCCATAGAAAATCGGTTAAAGTGCTTGGAAAGCAGACAGTTACTGCTACAGCTTTGATTTACCTGATACCGTACGCAGAAGAATGAGCGAACAAAATTTATCATCATATGTAACTACTACAGTCGCTTTATTGACGCATATCCTTTATTGGGATATGGAAAATTGGAGAAACATTCTGATTACAGACGAATCTAGTTTTACGAGATATTCACGAGAGTGAAAAAGACCACTCAATGTTTCTTCTCTCAGTTTGGTGGTGGAAGCATAATGGTATGAGCGGCATTTGTTAAGATGCACATACAGATCTTAATATATTAGGAGGAGCTAGTCTTGATGCTAATAGGTACATTAGGGAATGTCTGAAAGAACATTATGATGTCTTATATGCCTTTTGTAGATCAAAATGTTCTACTAATGCTCAACCGCACATAGGCAGGGTAACAATGCAATTATTTACAGATGTTGGTATTCTGATACTAGCCTGGCCTCCTAGAAGTGCAGAGCTTCTTCTAGAACTTCATAGAGAATTTGTGGTACAACTTGGGAAGGATTTTAGGAAAAAATATGGTGAGATTGAAACTACATTAAAACAGGCACTGGTAAAAGAGTTCTGCAAAATGAGATTACTGTTCTAATCCAGGCTATATCAGAAAAGATGTGAGCTGTTATTCGAGATCGAGTAGGAAGTACTCTGGAATAAAAGAAAAATATAAAGTTTTTCTTGTTATTATAGTAATTAATATTTTGGAACTTGTTTTTAGTTTTATGTTGTTTTATTGAACATACTATAATAGTATTACTTTATGAGGAGGAGAAGCATGACTTTTCTTGACGCGCCAGATATTACGCGCTGAACGAAGTGAGGCGCGTAATAGAGGGCAAGTCAAGAAAAGTCGCTTCTTTGCCGAATAAAGTATACTATTTTTTCTTCAAACGTAGCAATTTTCAAACATAAATAGTACAATTCATACGCTATTTTTACTCGAAATTAACTGTGACAACTATCAAAGTCGTCTAGATGTTAGAAATTAAAATAACTAAGTCGTCGGTGGGATTTGAGTCTCCCTGGTTACAGTTGTTTGACAGTTGTTTGCAATTATTAAAGACAGCTTATTGTTGTTGCAACTGCAAGCGCAAATTTAGTGCGAAAATGGAAAACCTAAACGAAATTGGGTCCGCGGCTAATGATGCAGTAGCACGTTTGGGGCCCTCCAAGTCTGGAATAAAGTATCGGTTAGCGTACAAGCACTTCCAAGGATGGTGCGATACAAGAGGAGTACGGCAAGTTACCGAAGACGTTTTACTGGCATATTTTAATATAATGGAAAATGAAAATACCTAAATGGAAATCTTCTACAATGTGGTCACGATACTCTATGATAAAATCCGAGTTAGTTATTAGAAAAAATGTGGATATAAGCAAATTTTTAAAGTTACGTGCCTTTAAAAAAAAAAACAAGCGAAGGATATACTGCAAAGAAGTCTAAAGTTTTCACTAAAGACGAGTTTGATAATTTTTTGTTTGAAGTGCCAGATTAGTTGTATTTAGGATTAAAGGTAAAAAAATTATATTGCAAAGCATGTAGTATACTCTACTAAATTATAAAAATATTTCAGATTGTTTTGTTACTTGGGGTTTCCGGCGCCTATCGATGCGACGAAATGGTAAAAATGAAGACTGTGGACATTGAGGATAAAGAAAATGTAATAATTATCAAAATCCCAGACAGTAAAACACGACAAATTAGATCTTTTACGATAATTGGTCAAAACTACATTAAACTATATAAATATATTTTATCAAGTACCAAAGTGGAAAGTGTTACCGAAGTGTCATGGGAATACATTCGATCAGCGCAGTAGCCCAAAAAGTAGCTAGTTATTAAAATTTAAACGATGCAAGCGCATACACGGGTCACTCTTTACGACGAACTTCAGCAACACTTTTAATTGATGGAGTCGGAAATCTAGAATGCCTCAAACGACATGGAGGCTGGAAATCAAGCACGGTTGCCGAAGGATATATAGAGGATTCAATAAGAAATAAGAACGATAATGCTCAAAAAATTTTAAACCCTCATGATTCGCCAACGTCGGGAATTATTGCTGAAAGTTGTTCTCGACCATCAGTATCACCAACAATTAAAGCAAATTGTATTGTTGCTTTGTGACATGTTTCATATTGTTGCCATGACAACATTTTTCGCTCCGCCGCAAAGAAATGGGGAAAAAAACTGCTGTCGGCGGAGACATCAAACTTTGACAGGATCAAGTTAGATAAGCAATGTCATCATTATTTGACGTTTGAAGAAAAAATAATTTAAGTTTGTTTAATATTTTTTAATTTTACTTAAAATAAACTAACTGCCCGGTTAATTTTGCTGGAAGTGTAGTTAAAACACATTTTTACACAAACCACATGTTTCTACCAAATATACTACGTATATTTGACAATTCCAAAACAGTATAATACAAATCAAATACTACAAAAATTTTATTCTCCATGTTAGAGGAAAATGAAAATTTACGTTAAACGAAAATAAATCTCGACGTATAGATTTTACTAATATCCCAGATTGAGCACGATCTGATAAATATGAATGAAGGTGAAATTCCACACGCAAATACGGCGAAGTATATTGGCCTTATATTAGATGTGAAGCTTCTCTGGAAAAGCTCACGTTAAAAAGAAAAAATACCGAACTAGACATAAGAAGTAAAAAAATGTACTGGATTGTCAATATGCGCATAATCGTTCGTGTCAATGGATAATAAATTTGTACGCAAGCAAATTTTATAACTCGTACGGATGTGTGGTATACAACGGAAGTTAAGTACATCTGGAACGAAGGCCTGTTATCTTATAGGAGTGGAAAAGCGTCTTGTGAAGATAGTTAAAATAGTGGCAGGTTATAAAAGGAAATTTTTCTCCTTTCATTATTCGACGATTGCAATAGCTCCACATGCTTAGCAATAATCAAAACATTTTAATTAAATTTGAAAATAAATAATATTGAAAATAAATAATGTATAATCGCTAAGAGTTAGGCAATCTATATTACCTAGTTAGAAACTTGAAATTTCCTAGTACCTACCTAGATACTTCAAATTCATATCTATCGTATAATTTGGATTCTATCGTAATTTGGTCCAGTAAGTCAATTTTAATATACGTATATGCAGCCATTTTGTAGTATCCACATCGCTAAAATGATTCATTGCCAGCTTTCCTTTCTTTTTCATTAAGAAATATTTTATATATTCTTTTTCATTGAGAAAAAAGTATTGAGAATAAATTCGATTCAATTTTAGAAAATATTCTAATTTACCCAAGGTCGTAGCAAATTGAAGATCATTAAGTTTTTGTCAGCATCAAACCAATTTCTTGTGCGAACTTTTATCTCTTTCTACAAGTTTAAAAACCTTGGTTTGATTTTTCTGGTCCCTTTTTCCTTACATAACGAGAACGGAAATTAATAGGAGTTATATATTTTTCAGTCGTTTCTTCCTAAAAAAACACATACACCAGAAGTCGCCTAGGATAGGAACTCATTTAATTTGGGGCTGGGTGTTCTGTTTTTTTTTTGGACGCTTCTACGAAGGATTGTGTTTATTTTTTTTTTCTTTCAAGAATGGCAGTTAAGTTGAAGTTTTTCCTCTGTTGATCTGTTTCAAATGCAAGGATACACCTTGAAACTGGCAATAGAAGCTCCATCATTTAGTTGTTGTTAAGTAATTTAATACCTTAGTAATTGAACAATTTTTATCGTATTTTTGTTACATATTTGTTTACCAAGCCCTTCTACAATTTTTGTTACAGTATCATGGAAGAAAAACCTCGAATAAAAACCAAAAATGTGTATACCAACCTATTTACGAAAAAACTGGATAATACATAAGAAAAACAAAAACAAAGTAAAGTAAAATTGTAGTCCCAAAACAAGACGTAATAAATATCGAAATAGAGATAAAGAAAAGTATGGGAATGAACTCTGATCAAATCCGAGTACAAAAGGAGAAGCTTGAACAGTTAGTGGATACTTACGGGAAACAAACTGAAAGGCTGGATAAATCGATTGCGCTAATACGAATAAATAATTAAGAAAAATTTAATAGTGGAAAGTGCCTATTAGAAGTCATTACCAAATAACAATGTATGCAACACTATAAGAATATGTGATAGGCATGAGTGGAATCTACAGAAAAATTATACCCATAATTAAACTATGAGAAACTTATTTCAAACTCATACACTACAAAATGACGGATCAAACAACACTTTAAGATTTTCTGAAGAGCCAATGCAACACAGAAGAGTTAAAGTTTTCAACTGAGGCTTAAATACAGAAAAGTTTACTGACTGATTGGACAATATTCTACTCTGCTCACTTCCAATAATCTGCTACTTATACTAGGCGATTCAATAAGATTTGGGGAGCCGATAAGGGGAGACGTTGCTACTAGCTTATTTTTACACACACAAAGAAAGAAATATGGAGAATGATCAGAGGAAAATGAAAAGAGATGAACAAACTAATAAAAACGAAACACATTCAAAAGGAAACATAGGCAGACTACTTTCGATAGTTTTTTGCTAAAGGTAATGATAATGAACCACCAACAAAAGAGGTAACGACAAACGAAGAAATAAATATTGAGGAGGAGGAAGTAAAGGAGGTATTAAGGAAATTAAAAAATAGAAAATCATCAGGGCATGTAGAACACCGAACGAAATCCTAAAAGTACGGAGGAACAGATTTGACCAAACAACTATTAAAACTAATCCAAAAAATAATAGAACAAAACAGAATACCTCAAGAATGGAGATCAAGCATCCTAATACCTCTCTTCAAAAAGGGAGACAAATCGGACATGGAAAATTACAGAGGAATTAATTCATAAAACACAACACTAAAATTAACAACCAAGGTAATAACAAAGAAATTGAATGGAATTATAACACCAGGAGAAGAAAAAACAAGGTTTTAGGTCAGGAAGATCATGCACCGACACTATATTTATAATAAAGCAAGTGCAAGAGAAATCATAAGAATACAATAAACTGGCAAATATATGATTCGTGGACCTTAAGAAGGCATTTGATCGGGTCAAATTAAAGAATTTTATCATATTATACGCAAGAGAGATTCCTATAGAAATAATCAGAACGATCGAAAATATCTACTAAAACAACACAATAAAAGTAAAAGTAGAAGAAGAACTAACTAACCTTATTAAAGTTGGCAATGGGATAAGACAGGGAGATTCCATGAGTCCCCTATTGTTCAACCTGATTATGGATGAAATAATAAAAAAGTAAGAATTAAAAAGATACCAAATCAGAGAAAAACAGCTTAAAATAATCTGCTATGTAAACGACGTATTACTACTCTATCAGAGTGAAGATGATTTACAACGTATGCTGCACCAACTTAATATAACCGTCAGAAAATTTAACATGTTAATTTCCCCAAAAAAGACAAAATGCATGGTTACAACAGCAAATTTACTAAGATGTAAATTGTTTAAATATCTAGTAATCACATTATCTAGCTACGGAAAGCTGAAAACAGAAAGGAAAGATCAAGTGAATAGAGCAAACAGAGCCGCAACTGGCCTGAAAGAAACAATATAGAGAAATAAAAATATCGGGAAGGGAATGAAAGGCAATTTACAAAAGAGTCAACAGACCAGCTAGTAGCTAGAAGTACAGATACACGACATAGATGCAAGGTGGAGAACATCAAGGACTGGGTAAGAAAGAAGAGTAGAATGAAATGATCATATAAGCTGAATGACAACAAATAGAACAGTAAAGACGGCAAAATACGGTTCTCCAATAGGAAGACGATCAGCAGGAAGACCATGTAAACGATATAACAACTTACTGGAGGCACATTAAAAAATATAGTCATTTCTACATAAAAAATAAGAAGAAGAATATGAAGTAAATCTGTAAATTACCCATTATACAAGAAAGGTGACAGACCAATTTACAAAAATTACAGAGGCAAGAGGCATAGTGCTGTTGAATGTTGCGTACAAAATATTAGCAAAAATTATACATGATAGTTTGAATAAGCATGAGAATTACGCAATAAGTAATAGTAGGGAATATTAAAGAGGACTTCATATGCTCTTTAATTATTTAAAAAGATGATCGACTACATTAATTGACAAAAGCTGTATAAAGCTCTGATAATAGGGGATTAAAACAATGGAATCCGACAGAATTGTATAGTACATACAGATGACATAGTCTTCTGAACAAAAACAAAAAAGTTTATTACATTTTGCGCTTGCTTTATATCTCAAATTTGACGAAATGCCCCTGATGATGCTGTAGAAAGCGAAAGTACTTGGGCAAGATTTGATTAATAAAATTGTGCTCGATATCTGCCTTTAAATTTTCAAAGTTCATTTATTCAAGCATTCAACCTTATAATAATTTAAAAACAAAAAAACTTAAATTTTTTAGAAACTTTGAAGGCGAAGCAAGAACATTGGTGTTAAAATTGTGTAACAAATTTTATAGAAATGTGTAAAGACGTAACAGTAAATTCGTCACACTAAAAATGGGAAAAAATGATTATAAAATTGAAAATGTAAGCCGGTGCGAGCATTTGGGAGTAACAATAACGAATACAGAGATGAGAAAAAATTAAATAGAAAAGGTACTACTAAAAGGAAACAGAACAATGGGATCATTACACAAACATTTGAAATCAAAAAATGTAAATAGGGTAGCTAAAATTCGAATATATGAAACATTCATTCGGCATTGTATGCTTGTGAGACTTGGATAATGAAAAAAAAGATAAAATGAAAATCAAGATCTAGGAAAAGAAGTCGTTGCGAAGATAACAGAGGAAAACTGGCAAAGAAGAACAAATAAAGAAATAATAGAGATGTATGTAAAACTGCTAATTGTACAAAAAATCAAAGCACAGAGAGTCAGGTGGCTAGGTTAAATCATCTGAATGCCAGAGGGAAGCTGTGTAAAAAGGTGCTTTTTGGAGGGTACGGAGGTAAAAATTGAAAAGGAAGACCACCAAAAAAGTGTTTCCAACCAGTAAAAGATATCCTTTTACTGGTGATACTTGGATTGGTGATTTACTTGAATAATATAGAAGTGAAACATTATATTCCAAAATATTTTGGAATTAATCGCGAAACTTTTTGAGTTAGCATAAAATCTGACTATTTCACTAGATTTTTAACAAAACTATTTTTAACAAAATTATCAAATTACCAGAAGAATAAGGTTAGCATGGGCAGGATTTGGAAAACTGAGTTGGATCTTGAAAATCACTAGAATAGAACAATGAAGAACATAGGGGGATTTTATTTCTCCCCCTGAATATGTTGCTAACTGCTTATTGAAGCAGTACCTTCGATTTTGGTTCTATGTAGTTATAATAAAATAAAATTGGTTACCTTATATTTTGGCGATCACACTCTCGTAATTACTTTAAATTACACTTAATAATTAAAACTATATTTTTTTTTTTTATATAACACAAAATCTTTTGTGGAGAAATGAGCGATTTATTTTAAAAGTGACAAATATTAGAGAGTTATTAAAATTGACAAATATTAGAGTAATGTCAGAAATTATAGAATGACTGTTGTCGACGTCATAAAGGTTAAGAAGGGAATTTCTCGCAATTATGTGCAGCAAATAGAAACAGCATCTGTCTTGCATTATCGGCAATTCGACCTATGAATTTTTTAGGTTGCGATATGCAACATAGTCCCCCCCTTGATGTGAACGCATCAAAAAGAAAAAAAAAAAAAAAAATGTTTATGTACAATTTGAAGAAAGGTATAACTAAACTAACAAACTATTAATATTCTTGAAGGTGAGTCATAGGAAGAGGACACAGTTTAGCAATAGAGCGAACATATAAGCCTTCAGGAGTTCTGACCTTAACAACTCTTACCTTGTTGTCCTTTCCCGGATATGTCTCAACTACCCGTGCTATAGGCCATTTGAGAGGAGGCGAGTTTTCGTCCTTAAGCAAGACGAGATCACCAGGCTTTATGCCTACCTGAGGAGTGAACCATTTAGGTCTATTTTGCAGCCTATTAAGATAATCGCGGGTCCAAACCTTCCACATATGCTGCTGAATTCTTGTGCATTTATTCCACAAAGACAATTTATTTTCTTGAATATCAGAAAGATCT